GGACGCGAGTAGAAGAGATAGGATTTCAGCTGAAACCGGTCTGGATATCAACCAGGTTCGCTACTGGTTTCAATACAGACGGGTGAAGGAAAGAAAACTAAAAGGGTGCGCAGGAGAAGATAATGCATTTGTAAATAACGACAGTTAGAGCCACAGGAGCAGCAACTTAATTAACAATTAATAATTTTACAGGATCAACAACGGCTGCAACCAGTACAACCGCAAGAAATATCCCTACTAGATTAACAACCGCTCTTTGAACCTAACAGCTGATTACTACGACAACGAGCACAACAACAGCAACTACTAATTTGCTTCAGCAGCAACAACAACAACAGGCAATGGATGATAATATACCGTCTGATTTTCCACTAATGTTGCTTTTAATTGTTAATTTTTTGGAAACTTTTATTTTATTTGTATTAATATTTCTGTTACATAATAAATTTAAACGCGAAATCTTAATTTTATGTTCTTAATGCTAAATCATATATAAGTGTGCAAATTCTTATTGTACATTTTCGTTGTCGTAGTAAATATATATTTTACAAAAATAAAATATTGAAAATGATTTTATCAGAAATAGTTTTCTTTGTTATGAACAATGAAAAAAAAATAATATCAACAACAAATGATACAGCAGCTAACACTAATACTATGTCATAGTAGTAGTGGTCGCAGCAGCAGTAGTAAGAGTGACGGCTGTACTAGTACTAAATGAAACATCTAAAAACAGTAGTGAAAGAATCAATAGCAGTCTATGTATCAGAGTGCTAGTAGTAGTAGTAGTTTTCGAGTAAATTGAATTCGATACTTTAATTTTTTTTAATTATATACTTATTACCATTTATTTTTAAAATTGTCAAAGAACGTAAAATTTAAAAAATGAGAAAATATTTCCACATTGCGGTATTGAGAAAAATAAAACTTTGTATACTTTACATAACATAAACAGAAAATAGAGAAGCGCGAACTGACGTTCCTATGCCTCCAGCAAATGAAAAGCTTCCATTGTATTGTATTTTAAAAATAATAAAATAAATAAAGTAAAATAAAATACAGTTGGATGAAAATACAGATTGTTAATGTGAAATGTCTATATATACATATATATATAAATTTTTACAATATTCTATAAATTCTACCGAATGTTTGGCGATAATATGTTTGTAGTTCGTTTTTTCGATTTTTCTCGCTAAAGTTTTTTGGTGAACGTTTAGTTTATTAAAATTCAAAATAAACTTATTTTTCGAATTCATGCTGCAAATAAGGCCATATTTCGATTCCGAATGAATCATCGTCAGTGCTCCTTGCTGTATATATAGGGAAATATTGACTTTGTCAAGATGAACTTTGACGTTGTAAAAATTAACTTTGGTGTTGTAAAATTGAACTTTGATGCGAATTAGGTGTCAGGTTTCTTAATTGGCTGGTCATCTTCTTTGGTCTCCTTTTCTTCATCGATAGCATCATATTCTTCTTTGTCACTATTTACGATGCTAGTTTTTATTACTTCTTTGTTTTCGTTGTTGGTTAAGCGCCGGGTTGGAAGTGAGGTTGGAATTACACACTACAATCCCGTGAGTTTATTAATCTCCTCAGCATTAATAAACCATCCAAATTTATTGCCTCTCTGGATGTTGAATCATTATTCACAAATGTACCAATAATTTGTGAACCGGGCATTCACACACTCTTCCGATATTGAAAATCGCGACGCTGAATTAAAGAGAGTCACTAACCTGCTTGTAAACAATGTATATAAGACTTACTCTATTGAAAAGATTGTTAAAGGCAAATTACTACACAGCAATAACCTTCCTAGTACCAACAATCAAGATAACGACATCATCTTGTATT